TTTTGTTTTAAAAAGAGGAGTGATTGTGCATTTGCTGGTGCCAACTTAAACAATCCTCTGCTGAGTATTTACCAGTGCTGTCATCCTCATCTCCAATTCTCCACACGTTTACCGATCTGTCCATAGAGCCCGTTGCAATCCAGGGAAAGGTGGGAGATAGCGCAACGGTGGTTACATACCTGCAGGAAGGAGCAAGAGGAACGGGAATGTGAAAGGTGTGTGTGTGTAATTGACTGAAACTGGCACAGGAAGAGAGCGGCCTTAAAAATCTGGTTCCCTCGACACTTAGGAAAGGAAAAAAACCCCAAAAAACTAGCCTTAGATCGTGCAGCATCTTAAACTCTTTCAAGGACATCAAAGCGGTGTGCTGCTTCTTACCTGTGGTGCCACATCAATGACGGTGCAAAAGCAGTGCCGGGGAATATACTTTTGCACCACTGCACCCGGTGCTTCTGGGAAAAGCTAATCAAGCAAAAATCACACTTTTTGATCTGAAACACCAGGACTCCTATTCTGCTGTTTGTCTAATAGCTGCAGAGATTGCATTGCGGTGGGAGGTCAGGCCGGGTCATTTACCTGTCATGTTGTTTCAAAGTTTGGAGCACGGTTCCCAGGCTCTGTACACAAAGTCCAAACACACGAAACGGGAATGTTTGACATCTGTGTTTATGGACGCTGTGATTTATTGTTTAGAAGTCCTCGACCACAGTTAACTATAGCAGCAAACAACAACAAACCTCCCCCCCAACCCCATATTATGGGTGGCGTGTTTGCGCTTTACTTACCGCATCATATACTGCGACACTTTTATCCACGGAGCTGTTGAATATTTAGAGTAAACAAAGTCAACTTCATTTGCGGCGTGCATATGCGTGCATTCACATTGTAGAATAATGAGCAGAAAGAAGGGATTCTTTTCTAAAATAAACACACACACACACACGAAAACCCACCACGCAGAGCACAGATTAACCTTCAGCGTGTTTGAATTTCAGCCAGGGACAACAGAAGGACCGAGCAGAAGCTATATGATAACAAAATGCACTCCTCCTGTGGTCGACTGAGAGAACAGCACGATCAGTGCTCACCATGGCACGGCCGTTTAAAGCGCAGAAAAAAAATGCAGACAGAAAAAAATGAATTTGAATATGAATTGTATCAAATTATGATAGGAACTAATAACACAAATAGAATATTAAACGTGACCTGAAAGGTACAAATATCAATAATTAGTTGCTGAAGCAGGGGGAATTATGGGATGAAAACACTGGAGGAAGTGATTTTCATGTGTGTGTATGTTTGTGACAGAGAGTGTGATTAGCGTCTTACCCCGAGACAACCCATTCTCCATCAGAGGAGAAGGCACAAGACAGAACTGGGGCCGTCTGGCTGGTGAGAGTCTGAAGCAGCTTCATGGTACAGGCTGGGGTTCAACACACACAAGCAAGATGAGACCAAAGTTAAATTGTGTCTGTATTCGATCTCAGCAGTTGACTGAAGTCCAGAAAAAGAAGTAGAGGTAGATGACTTTTTTCCCCCCTTGTAGCTGTGCCCCCTGCTGACAACTACTTGGAAACAAATGATTTTTATTTTTGCCAATAAACTCACATCGACTGCATTAATTCTTCATGCTAAAACCAACTGATCTGCAGCAGCATTTATATAATCATCCTGCGAATACACATGCATTAAGTCAAACCTTCTCCCCCTTTTCTCTTCAGCAATAAAACATAAACACACCATTTTCTCTGGGAGGTTAATGTGTTATTTCCAGGCATATTCCTGATTGATGTGAAACACCACAGTGGAGTAGAAAACCGTAACGCCTGATTAAACCCGACAAATTAACTATACAAGTGAGACCAAAATAAACTAAACAAATGTGACGTGTGGATTGGAGATGTCAGCATGTGTTGATAGGTGACTTGAAGGGAATGCTTCAGATCTGACAGCATTAAAGGCTCGACCCATGGAGCTAATATGCAAAGCTGGAATTAGAGATTTTTCCGTGAACACATGGGGCTTGTACACACTCACACAAAAACAAAAGCGGGGACTAGAAAAAATGTTCCATTTCGACAGCAATCTCAGCTTTGAAATGCACCCCTTGCTTCCCTAAATCACGTACACTTGAGTCTCTTTTTCATAAAATAGTGGAAGAGAGGTTCGAGCGCACAGTCCTCATGCCAAGACAAGATAAGTGCACATTTCAAAAAAGGCCGAGCTCAACCTCCTTCACATCTGAGGACAAAAAAAATAAAAAAAATCTAAAGCATAATGAAATGAGGACAGACATTGTCTGGTGTCCCTCGGAGATAAAGGAAAAAAAAAAATCTCCACGGACTTGGGTCACCACGTGGGACACATCAAATCCTCCCAAGAAATGGCTGTTACCATAGCAACACATATTGGAACCTAACAACATGGTGTGTTCACATACATAACGAAAAATACAGTCTGTAGCCGGGGTACGTACGTGTGAACATACACAAATGTTCCTCCTCTGCTGCTGCTTGTACAAGATGTAAATGTCATCATGGATACATGAAACTGATTTCCTTCCAACTCTTTCTCACACACTCACACGCACACACACACACACCTCTGCTGCTGCTGCTGTATTTCAGCAGAATGTCTTAAAGTGATCCATTATTAATGAGTCAGTCTGCAGCTGATTTACTCCACACACTAATAAAATTCTTCTATTCTGCAGAGAGGTTTCAAGGTTGAAGCAGTCAGCACACTCTCCCTCCCTGTCTCTCCCGCTCGGCAATCGAGTGAGGGAGCACTCAGGTGGGGAAGCTGGGGCAGAGGGGTCGGCCTACCTGCTCCTTCACGCTGGGAAACAATCCATATTTTCAGCTGGCTGTCCTGTCCGCAGGAGGCCAGTCGAAACTCCACACAGCAGCCATCTGCAGAGCCAAAGAAGCCACATCCCCTTTTTGTTAAGATTCATGCTTGAATGCGTCTGAAAGCAGAGGGCGGCAAATATCATCTGACGGCCTGCTTTTTAGCTGCAACCCATTCATTACAGCACATACAGCAGTAACACTAACATAACAAGTGTCTTTATTGGAGCCAGGTACTTTGCTTCTAGGATTACATGCAAGTTGCTTTTAAACTGAAAATTGTGCAAGATGAACCTAATGCAAAAGGAACTAAGGAAGGAGAGCAAAAGCAATGAAATTGCAAAAGAGTTTTGATGAGGGAAAAAGCCCCACAGAAAATGAGGTGAGTAACTGAGATGGTCAACTTTTATTTTGAACAGGAATCTGTAGTTCTAAAGATTTGACTCAATTTACCAGCACCATTTAGATGAAAAATGTGAGAAGATAGATAGAAATCCCATTTACCCTGACGTAAAACCAATAAACGCAGCTGATGTCTCATATTTTATTTTCAGATGAATTTCTACAGCAGTAGTAACAAATGAAGAGAACTTACTAACGATGAACTGGGCTGCAAAGCAGCAACAGGTGACTCCCAGGTCGTGAGCGTCCTTCTCAGCGTGCAGAAGGCTGGTGTAAGCATCCCAGAGTTTGAGGTCTCCACGGGTGCAGCCGGTCACAAACATCTGGGCACATGGAGAGAAGCAGCAAGCCACGACGCTGGCCTCGCTTACGGTGGCACATCTGCGAGGGGGGGGGAGGGGGATGTTGGCACCAACTTGAGTGTGACTCGCTTTAGACTTCAAGGTTTATCAGGAAGTGTGTAAAATTCGAAGGAGGGAAATTTAATTTGTTTAGGCTGTGGAGTCCTGCACTGAGTTTAATGATTTAAACCACCTGTGGGTATTAATCAGAGACACACAGCAGGCCTAGGGGTGCTCAGAAAAGCTGTTCCAGAGCACAAAAGTGAAAAATCAGAGGATTAAAACACAAAATAATCCTGATAAAATGCTTTTTTAATTTGCTTATTTAATCAGAATTACTGAGTTGGCTGCTTCCGTGTTTGTCTAGCTGGTTCCTCTGTGATTTTGTTCCATCTGTCTGTGATGACAGAGCTGTAACTTGAAGACGAACCTGCAATAACTTTAAGACAATTACTCCAGTCTGTTGAAGATTAACAAAGCAAGTTTCAAAACTTTATTAGAGCTCAGTTACTTAAAGATCATGTAGAAAGATGTTTTATGTATTAAGAGATCCTTTCCTTTATGTCAAGATCATTTTTTTAGTTTATTTTCTATTCCCTTCTCACCGTTTTGATTTGTGTGTCTAATAGAAAATTCAAGTTACATTTTGTGCAACATGAAGTAAGAGAATCTGAAGAGACACTGATGTGTGCGATGACTCCATCTGCTGATAATGGCTGAGAGAGGTTTCTAAAGGTGGAAAGAGTGATTCAGACTTTCCCAGTTCAATTATTAACCTCCAGTCTCAACTTGTACAACTGTTATGTCAAGACCGCACACAGAAGGGTTAAGAAAGCACTCCATGTTCAGATAGCTGACATTTATCAGTAAGCAAATATTTTATTGACTCCGTTATTGGTTTTGAACAAAATACTGAAAAACATTTTTCACGTGTGAATTTGTAGTTTGTTTTTTGTTCCAGTCACGTGGACAAAAAACTATTTGGAAACAGAGAAAAATGACCTCGGATTGGATAAGAGTCTGACTAGTTAGCTCTTATTTTAATATTAACTAAGGCATATTTTGACATTCATATTTGGAGAAGATTACATTAATTATACTAAATTGTCACTGTGACCCTGTGTGATGCTTATTGTACCTGCGTAGCGTTTTGGAGCGGAAGTCCCAGAGGGCCGCGGTGCCATCGCAGGCTCCTGCCAGCAGGAGAGAGGAGTCTGGCGCCAGTGCGCAAACTCTGAGAGGACTGCGGCCTGGGTGCTCGAGCGTAGCCTTCACCTCACCTGTTTCGGCGCTCCACACGATGACAGAGCCGTCTGTGGAGCAGCTGAGCAGGAAGCTGCCGCAGGAGCTGAAGCAGCAGCAGTGGACCCCGTAGCCGTGACCCCTGAGAGGAGAAAAGGGAAGCTCCGAGAAGTCGGCCGTGGTATAAATACGGAGCGTTTTATCACCGGAGGAGGTCGCCAGGAGGGATGGAGAGAAGGCACAGCAGGTGACCTCATCTGTATGATGTCGGAGAGTGCAAATTAAAGACACCATTTTGTGACAGATGTGCTGTTGGCTTGGAAGAGGTTGGCTCACAAGGTGGCGCAAAATACTCAGATATTCCTGCACGAAACCAGCTGATTTCGCCTCTTCTCCCTGCTGTCCTACCCGCTTCGCCCAAAGAGAGCAAAGTCACAAAGCTGTCACCACAACCTGTTGCTCCTTATGGCTCAGCAACTGCTTCTCGACTTCCTCTTTCTACTCGGCTGTAAATCTGTGTCTCTCGCTGTTATCGGTCATGTGATACGGAGTTACACAATGTTTACAGTCAAGTGTTTTCATTTTGTATAATTTAATTGACTATAACCTGAGATTTTATATACATGCATATAAATAACATTTGCATATAATATGTATGCAGTGAGGCAAGTTAGAATTTTTTTTGAGTACCTCTAATAGTAAAATAAATGAACATGTAAACACTAGTATTTGGATGCATCCAAATCCTTTTACATATAATTTAAGCACTTTTCCTCTGCCCTGTAGTGCTGTTTATCTATCATATGACTGAAAGACTCCATACTTGACTCATATATATAATTTTTTTTTTTTTTAAACATATACACATTTATGTATGTTTACATATCTCCTGTCCTCTGTTGCCACATAAACGAGTGTAGAGAGATCTTCTTTGTCCTAGACTACAAATAGTGCATTGTGGTGCTCAAAGTGGACAGAAAAAAAATCCTACAGTTTCCTTCTGGAAATGACCACATCACCTACATAAATCTGCAAACATTGGGAGGATTTTCTTCCTACCAAGTGACACTTGCCAAACAGTATGACTCTAAAGAGATAGTCCTCCCAAGACACTGGACTCATGCTGGTGACAGCCAGGTAATACAAACTGCAGGTATATAGATAGCCTTCTCAGTGATCGATTGAAGCCTTGTCTTATCTGTTTTTTTGATCAGTGGAGAGGAAGTAAAGCTGAACATATTAAGTTTATTCTCTTTTTTGTGAAAAAGGAGCAGGTCTCAATACGTGTTAAACTTCCACCTACTCCTGTTTGGGTAGAGTTTGTACATAATATGTAGCATTTAAGATGATTTCATGTTGTTTCTTACACACTGTACATTGAGTGTAAGCATTTTCACAAAAGACACTTAGATTTTCCTTTGTTTTCTTGATATGAAAGCATCCAGCTATGCATACCATACACAGAGGAAACCAGCTGCGGATTAACTACCTACAGGTTTAACAGATTTTTGGGGGTTTCTTTTGTGTTTTTAAGCGAGTAATAAGGTCATGACTTCAGACTGCATTATATAAAATGACATCACTGCACTGTAAACATTGTCCACCTCATCATCACATGACTGATAACAACAGCGAGCGATACAGAGATTTATAACTATGTAGAATGGGGTCACTTATGTAACAAGTTTTGCTGGTTTAATAACAATGGGGAAATATTTAGCCATTTTAACACCAAAAATATCGACTGACTTTCATATTTGTAACAAAAATTACAACAAATATCTTGTCATTAACACATTTCATTGTAACTTTGGACATCAGGTATTAGGCTCAATGACTCTACAGCACTAAATCTGGCTTATCTACCCCATCCACCTGTAATCATTTTTTAAAAATTTAAATTATAACTATATTTTTTTTCCTCCCATTCTCTATAATATAAATATACAGCTGAGGTCATAAATTACCCCACAGTCACTTGAACATAAAGTTCCAGGTACATATAGAAAAGAACACTCTTTATTTGCCTGTACCTCTTGTTTCCTGCTCTGTCAAAGATATGATAATCCTCAATTCATATTTATCTGCCTCTGTGACATTCAATGTGGCTCCACAGTCTTCTGTGTGTTCTTTCAATCAGGAAAGCGGTCAATACCCTCACAGCAGGAAGCAACAGAGCTGAACAGCTGGAGGAGGGAAGGAAAGCAGCGAGGGAAAATGAAGTATTAAGCCATCTGTGATACGAGAGCTCATCAGTGAGGAGGATGCCAGCAGCAACAGCGCGCCAAACAAACGTACCAAGGAGGTCAAAAAGAGGAAAGGAGACGACAGCCTACCCAGCTCCCAGACAAAGTTTGACAGCCCCATCTACTGTGCAAAAAAAGCCAAAACCCACAAAGATGACAAAAAATGTGCTGGCAATATGCCGGTACAGACGTGTGTGTATTTAGTGCATGCATATGAATTTTTATTATAGCTTTAGCAAACTGATGAAAACAAACAATTAAAATATGAGATATTAATAAAAGAAAAATGTACCTAAGAAAAATATTAACAGCAGCAGCGAGGGCTTAGTGTTGCTATTTTGAAAAACCGGTTTATTTAATCCATCCACACCAGTGTTCAAAAATAATATTCCTACAAAAGTCACTACTCATTACACAATTTTCATAATAAAATGCAGTTACTTCAAGTCTTCTGACTTCAGCTGTCTTGAGATGCCTCCAGCGGTCCGTGACACTGACTCCCCGATGGATTAAAGCTCCAATGCAGGTTTCACGTCAGTCCACGGGATGTCTGACAAGGCTCTGTTTGAAGGAAACGCTTGGAGATGAAACACTATGCACCACATTTAAGAGGAGGAAAGCTCCTATTACAGCTCCTGCAAATGTTTCCTACGATATACTGTGCAGGACACATACAGTACACACACTGCATATAGAAAAAGAAAAACATCCTCCTCAGAGTCAGGCACTACAATTCTGAGGAGTGCTTTGAGTGGATATTCAGATTAAGTGCTACGACCATCCTTATGCAATGATATCATCTTCGTCAAGACCGTGCAGTAAAAATACACTTAACATGTAATAACTATGACTTGAGTGAAAGAATTAGCACTTAATGTGTCAGTGATCCCTCTTTGCATTACTCAGTGAACTTGTGAATGCATTTAGACAGAGGAACTGTTGGTACGGTTAGTAATGCTTTTTTCATTTATTCAACAGTTGTTACATTGTAAGTCTCGTGCCTCTGCTTTGAAAAGAATGCAATGTAAAGTAGTTGAGAAAATAAATACACATACAGCACACACAGAGATATAACTTAGTACCGATGATAAAAAAGTAAAGTCCCTGCTCAATATTGTATTTCGCACAAACAACATTGAGCCGAACAGTCAGTGTGTTTCAATAAACAAAACAGTATTGCACTTGAAGATACAAATCCATTAAGTGTTTTGCCTACACTTGCAGACAGACCACAGTCCTGTCCTTCAAACTGCACATTGATTTATTATAACCATGTAGTCACTTGGGGTCACAGGTGAAGAGAAGGCCTCCGACACCCATGAGAAAGTTGGACATGTCCACTTTGGAATGTGTTCACTGCAAGAATTCAGTCCATCGCTTGTCGAAGAATCTCCTCATCCTGTGGCCGGCTCGTCCGATTTCAGAGTCATCTTCGTTAAATCTCTCACAGTTATCGAAAACCAGGTTCACGTCGATGATGAATGTCTCCAAGTTTAAATACCTGTAATGATTAGAAATGGGTTTAATTTCAACTCATGAGCACTGTCCGAGTCATAAAATGTAAAATTAGGAATAAGATATGTTATGAAAACATCCTAAAAACTACAACAACACATACTGGTTACTGGTTAGCTTCTCCTTGATGGTGGAGAAGTCCATCGGTTTCTTGATGACTTTTCTGTATCCAGGAACAGCTCTGTGGTTGACTGGGGTGAGAAAAGGCCAGGCATCCTGATGGGCCTCCAGCTCAGCCAGCAGCACTCTGCAGGGAACAAAGAGCAGACACAGCTGAGCTTTTTGCATTGCAAATATATGACTTTTCACTACAACGGTCTGATTTGTTTACCCTTTAGTGATTTAAAATGTGAATTCTATTATAAAAATGTGTCACAGGAGCCTAATAATTTTAAACAATGACATAAGCTATATTATCAAGCTTCTAGGATCTAATTGCACAGTAAGTATATGCATGTGCGTACCGGCATATTCCCAGCTCATCTTTGTGCGTTTTGGCTTTTTTTGCACAGTAGATGGGGCTGTCAAATTTGGCCTGGGAGCTGTGTGGGCTGTTGTCTGCTTTCCTCTTTTTGACCTCCTTGGTACCTTTCTTTGGCACATTGTTGCTTCTGGCATCCTCCTCACTGATGAGCTCTCCATCCACAGATGGCTTAATGCTTCGTTTTCCCTCGACGCTTTCCTTCCCTCCTCCAGCTGTTCGGCTCTGCTGCTTCCTACTATGAGGGTATTGACCGCTTTCCTGTATGAAAGAACACGCAGAGGACTGTGGAGCCACATTAAACATCACACAGGTAGATAGATATGAACAGAGAGCTGAAAAATGAATAGCAAAAAACCCAGAACAACAACACACACACACAAAAGAATATTGGCTCTATGATCAATCCCTCAGGGGACGCTGATGTACCTTTAACTCACAAGCTGGACAAAACCAGTCCCCATCAGGCACTGTATTGATCTTGGGTTTATGGCAGTAAGTGTGGCAGCCTCTATCACAGCCATCACAGAGTAAGAGCAGCTCTTCATTATCTCCTTTTTGACAGAACTGGCAGTGCTGGAAACAACAGCAACAAACGGTGCAGGAAAATGAGCATCCCTCTTTAAAAATTGTAATAGATTACCCCAACTGGTTTAATTAAAGCTAAAACAGATTAGTGAGATACTGAAAAAGATTATAAAAAATAGTGATTTATTGTGAATGAGATATATAACTGCTACCAAATCTTTCCTGCATTTAAACCTTCTCCAGAGCTTTAACCAGCTATCTGTGCCATCCTGCATTGGTATCCTTGACTGTTTTTAAGAAGGCTTGTATATTTTTAAATTAGTTTTCATGAAACTGAATGAGAAGCTATGCAGCTTATAAGACTGCATGGTGACTCTTATTATATGCGATCAAATAAGGTAAACAAATCTGTGATGAAGAGAGAGAGAGAAACGTGCAGTGAAAGCAGGTGACACCAACCACTTTCATGATGGCTCGTTCCCAGGCAATGGATTTCTGCAGCTGCTGAATGCAGAGTGACAGCTGAGCTGAGCTGCGGACTTGACCGAGGGATTTGCGCCACAGTCTCATCCCAGGAGCCACCTCCTCCTCACTGCTTAAAAGGTCACGGAAAGTAAGACCACTTGTAAGATTAACTGAGAAACATGAGAACAAGTCAATTGTACAAAAAAAAAAAAAAAAAAAAAAGAGTTGCAAGTTCTTCTTTCTGGTGTCCTGAATCTTGCATTGTTATTTTCTACTTCTAATACAAAGACAGGCAAGGTGGCCTGTGTCTGACAAGTGGTATTTTAAGATCTCGTAAAGTACCTTCGCTCAATGTTCCTCTCAAGTTCTGCCAGCCTAGTAACCGCTATGTCAAGGGGATTGTTGGGCCGCCGCACCATAGAGCCAGGAACATCTTCTTGACTGGCGTCTCTCTCTCTTTTGTTTTCCTGAGCCAGGGAAGAGAAGGGCTTGTGCTCATGATAGACCAGATCCTTACTGTCAGACTGGGGCTCAGGGTGCATCCAACCCTGACAGAGATATCAGGGAAATATGGCCATCACAACACCTTATTTTAATCACACAGGTATATATATTAAAGAAAATTTCAATGGCCTTTCCGAGGAAATAATTAGAATAAACACTGAGGTTTTCTAAACAGCTGAAATGCTCGTCACTACCTTGACCTGCAGGCTGGCGGAGATGACTTTCCTCTCCAGAGCTTCAACCTGTCGCAGCAGGCGAATGTCCACCTCCATGGCCTTCTCCTCAACACACCAGCTCTCCACTGCCTCCTTGCTTACCTCCTGCTTTTCCATCCCTGTCACACCAATAGCTGCCACCAAATATGTATGAAAACATTAAAGCAAACTGCTTTCTAAGGAACGCTTTTAAAAAAGAAATTCCATAGCCAAATGTGTCACATCACATTAAAAACTCAAATAACAATACTTTTAAAAATCATGAAATGCTGAATGTCTGCCGACTCTCAAAGGAAATGTGAACCCACCATCTTTGCTGTTCTCACAGAGCTTGGTCATATGCTCCATATGTTTTTGGATCTGTTTCTGCAAGGCCTTCTCTCTGATGCCCCGGCAATGGAGGGTCTTGACCAGACTGTGCAGGTTCTCCATGTCAGACACACTCCACCAGCCATGCAGCATTTCTGGAAACACACACAAATTGGAGAAGTGACTGTGCTTTTCAATTTTAGCAACATTTGTTTGTTCGACTGACAATCGCCACGGCATATTCTGTTGCTGTCTGGGCAATAGATATGTTCAGTCCAGCATATCTGATTTGTGCATACTGGCAGCGTGCCGTTCTTACCCTCTGGGATGGGCCGAGGATAAGGGTAGTCTTGGGTTTTGGCCCCCTCTATGGCAGCATATGAGGCACAAGTGGACTTGTCACTTGGGGACTCTGAGGTCTCGCACTTGTTGATAGAGTTATTTTCCAGAAAAGAGGCCTCATTTCCATGACCCTCTGCATGCTGTGAAGCTAGATCCACCATAGGGGGTAGAGGTGTGCCAGAGAAGGGCAGGCTGGGACTTGCCACTGAGCTAGACATGTCATGCTGTGTCAGTCTGCCTTCATGAATGCCAGACTTTACTTGCTGAGAATAAAAATGCATACACTCAGAATTATGATCAGATTACAGTTTTATTCCAATGCCACATGCATGGTCCAACAAAGGAAAAATTGTGATGTAATATGGACTAATTCTTGCAACACTTATCAGCGCTCTAAAAACTCATGAACTGATCCTTCTATCTGAGATGGAGATGCATTATTGTTATCCACCAACCTGAAAGATAGGCAATTCTGTGTTACTGATCCCAGGAGTAGTGTTGTAGCTATCTGTAGCTGAGGGATTAGTGGAGAGGAAAGAGGGGGATTTGGTTCTGATGGGTTGTGGAGAAGATGAGGAAACTGGTGGACTGGAACCAGAGGTCACTGAGGACTCGTCGCAGGGAGAGCGAGGAAATAGGCTAAACCACTGGCTGCTTTTTTCAGTCAGTGTCTTGGACAGCTGGTCATAATGAAGGCTGGACTGAGGACTCTGGGTCACCCAGTGAATGCTTTTCAGCTGAGTAGCACTGAGCAGAAATGGCACCGCAGTGTCCAATTTATCCATCAGACCCTGCTGAGTAGGGACTATCTGTGAGGCAGGATACGAAGGATAAGAAGCCGTGGTGGGGACTTTAAAAGAATGACTGTTCTGTGTATTGATGTCTGAATCTTGACCCATTTTGCCTACTTCTAGAAGTTTGCTGAGCTTAGATAAAGAGCCAGGTTTTTGGAGGAAGAGATTGTCTTTGTCCTGCTGGCTAGCTGTATCATTGTCTGTGCTCTGTGTGGAGCTGGAGACCACCGGATTTGTCTGTTCCAACTGCTCCCCTTTTACTCTGATCACCTCAGTAGCCCACTGTCTTCTTCT